TTCGCGCTGGTGTTTTGGACTCCTGTGCAAGGATATTGACTTTTACTTCAAAATCGTCTCCGCTATGCTTTTGTATCCTATGCGTGCCTAGTGGGGTGCTTCGTCTTAGTTTTCGTTTGCCATCTAGGTGTTCTTTTATACGGATACACAAAGGTCTGCCCGTTTCGCCAATATATTCATCTCCGCAATTGTTACACGAGATCAGGTATACCGTACCTGAACTCATGCAATCACCGTCCCTGCCGTAAGGGCAAATTACGCAATTTGTTGTTTCACACAGACGGTCATACAGGCGGTTGCGAACTAATTGGCGACGTAGAGTAGTCGGTGGTATTTCAACTATCGCTACCGATTCCTCTAGATCTGCCCTTCTTAAGCATCGTTTTATAGCTGCGCTTACTTCATCGCTTATAAAAGGCAACATAAACGGGATTTTGTTTTGGCCAAGCGTTTCGCGTGGGCGCGTCGTTCTCCTTGTAAACTTATCTCGTGGGGTTACTATTTCGTAGCCATTGGAGGTGGCTATTTGCAGACTTATAATTAAAGATAGAGCGTCCGTTACTGATTAGTCCCTCAGAAGTCCGCTATGCATTCGACCTCTTACGTAGCATCGCAGTTGTGATTGAATGCACATTTAGCACGTACAATAACTTGCATGACATACCAATCTATCAGATGGGTATTTTTATTTTTTCCGGACATATCTGATACAAATTTACCGATCTCGCTACAATGGAGGCCTTAGTCTGTGGCGTGGGATTGAACCGATAACAACGTGTGTATTGCAGAGTATCTCTAACCACTCAGCTTCACGCACTGAGAGAAAGCGAAATTATATAATTAAAATTAGTCATAGTAGCAGTACCGCATGCTCTTCCACTGGCCACAGAATTACCCGAGCATTACTCGAGTTCGACGTTTCCATGCAGAAGCTAGGAGTAAACCAATACCAATACCAAAAATCACCACCGTCCTGTAAACAAATTATTCGCAAGGTGGCAAATACTCCGCGGATCCATAAGGGCGGGGACTACCTGGACCTGAGGAAGGGTGTGCCTAGGCTGACGTTGGGAATCCGCGGAACCACAATGGTCAAACCAGAAAATATCCGGAGAACGGGAATTATGCTGAGACCGCACACCCGATGAAGACGCGCCATCTAAGTATCCAACTAAGTATTACTGAAGTAAGCCATACTAAAGTCTCCATTCTCTATCGTGTTCAAGGGTTCCATAATGAGTTATTCCCATTCTTAAGATTCAAACAGCACCATATCATCCCACTATGATCTTCTTTATGAAGCCTGACCATCGGCTTACTGGTCTTCGTCTCGTGTACTTCACATACCTTATAACTCAGTTCGTACCGGCTTGTGCTTCGGATCGTTTTACGGTGTTAGCTTGCCTAATTTTCCACAGTTTGTTTGATAGGGAATTTATGTGGGCACTGCAGATTTTCTGAATCGCACAAGATAAGAAATACTGAAGCATCATCTTCTCTACAGCGAGTTCGATAAACCTACTCTTTCTTCATGGCGGAGTGTGATGTGAAATATGACCACAATGATGCTGAGACGTGAACAGAACTCGGAACGTCTGTTGGTCTTTGAACCCACGATTACCCTTTCCAGGGAGTTACATTCTGTTCTACACCAAAAATTTTATATGACCTGTCATGACATCACTCCCGTTAGTTAGACATATTGAAATATGGCAGAGAGAAAAGCAATCCAAGGGACTCCGTTAAGAGTTTTCTTTTTGTTCACATCGTTTCTCAGGGTTCAACCAAAGGCTCTTATTTTCAGGAATGCTCTCGAAAGTGGGTAGCATTCGTTCTGTCTGGCATATGCTTGTTCTTACAATATAAATCTTTGTCTGGTCAGCAAAGATGAGATGGTGCCGCTGATAGACGCCTTTAAGATTACTGAATGTTAACCGCAAATCCGCACCTAAAATGGGGCGTGTCATTTATGACTAGCGCTAGTGTAAGCCTGTGATATGCTGGGATGGTCAACAAATGGTTTTATCTCAGCGACAAACATCGTGTTCTTCACCACTTCCGCCATTCGATGATCTAAAGACGAATTTCATTTATTTGTCTTCACATCCCATTGGTCTCCGTTGATTCATGATCTGTAAATACCGCTGTGACCAATTTATCGATTCGATTGTGATACTCGAATTACGTCTGAATTTTCTTGATCTTCCTGCGTAGAAGGCGTGTGTGGCACAGTGGTCGAGGGCGCCCTACGACACACACGAGATCTATACCTACGCCCGTGGCTCACCAAGCCTTCCATTCCTCTGGATTTGGCAAACTGGTACCAGGCTTATCTGGGAGGATAGCAGTACTAGCTCGATACATCGGTAGGCCACCACGAGTCATTGTAGAGGTCAAATATGTATTCAGTCACCACCAAGGATGCTTAATCACGTCGAATGCGTGCTGCATCCCTCAGGGTTTGCTAAACGCCGAGAGCTTTTATTTATTTTGCCTACCTAAATCTTTTATCTGCTACGTTATGTTCTGTACTTTGTAAATTGTACGTTCTGTTCTCTAGCATCTCGCAATGCAATTTTCTAAAGCAGCTTTAAGTCTCGAATTTTCGAAATGGTTTAATGATAATGTAGTTCGTAAACATGATTTTTAGCTAAAAAGCGTAGAAAGATAAAGGATAAAGCTTTCGGTGTTGATCAATCCCTAAGGTATACACTATACATTTCTCATTAACCATTGTTAGAGGTGACAGAGTGCATATCTGGCCCCTTTACAATAACTCGCGGCGGCCTACCGATGTATCGAGCCAGTGCTGCTATCCTCCCAGACAAGTCTGACACCAATTTGCCGACACTCGAGGTATGGACGGCTTGGTTAGCCTGGAGCGAAAGCATCGATCCTGTGTGTACCTCCGACCACTGCGCTATACGCGCCCGCAGCATGGTATAAATAAAGAAAACAGTGTATTTCAAGGATATAATAAACCAACATATGAATTGCACTTATGAATCCTTCATTTCTGTAATCATTTAAATATGCACTTTCTTATAACATCATCATATTTTCTGAAATCCAGCACAATAACGACTAGGTAACGAATAGAATGAAGTCGGCTGCCATTGTACAAACGTATTAAATTTAACCGTTACAATTGAAAGTGATAGCAGATTCCGGGTTTCGCTCATAAATAGCGGCTTCGTTGGTGTTTCTACTTAGTCGGCTAAAGGAAAGGTTTTGTGAGTTTCCGTGTTCGACGTATCCAAAGCTCGTGAAGAGTCTCGAGACTTTGCAAATTACCTCTTCCATAACGAATATCACTTATTGGTAATTTGTTAACGATTAGTTGCGTACTAAGCAATGAGCACGTTTGAAAAGTCAACGAAAATTCGAATATTCGAGCATAGGAAACGAATATTCGATCGTAATTCTCAGTACAGCTAATGCCCGATCACATCTGTGTGTAATATAAGACGAGAATTGCTTATTCTTCTTAGTCTATCCATTAGTGGTGTTGAAGCATTACGTACAGGAGTGTCACGTGTTGCCACTGAAGCAGCTGCCTGAATAATCAAAATTCTTTTCACAAAATTTTAGTTTTATAGAAATGAGTAGAGAGATACAAGGCCAATCAAGCCCCCATCCTTCCATAGTTGGTAAGCTTGTACCAGATTTGTAGAGGAAAAGCTTTCATTTATCCATAAGGAACTGTAACTGCCTTTCCGAGGACTTGAGAACACCCTAGAGGACCTTTCATGGGATTCTAGGAAGAATCAATTTAACCAGCATTCAGTGGCATTGATGAACAAAACAAAGTCTTCAAGTAGCAGCCACAACCATGTGCAAATCCGAAGACTTTAGTGACAGATGAGAGGAAACGAATCGAATAGAACTGCCTGGAACCGCACAATGTCTAAAGGTGGATGGTCCATATAAATAAATAAATAGCTAAAATAAAGACGGTGAAATGGTCCTGTCGTCAACTGAGCGACTTGGGGTGATTGCTGATGACGCCGTAAGGGTAAAAAAAAACTGGCTGAGAGAAAGGGAAAGCAAGAACTTCGGTGATGCAGTGGTTAACATGTGAGCCCCGGAAAGGGTAATCGCGAGTTGAAATCTGTCTTGGGGTCCAGTTTTGCAAATATTTCAGCATCACTGTAGTTGGTCTTCGTTTGACTGTTCAGTTCACTGGCGTGTCCCGTTTGTTGATTTTGTTTATTGGCCAAAATTTTATTTACGTGTTCAACTAAACGGTGGTGCGGCATTTAGAGTACATAAACATTGTTATGAAAAAATGTTTACATGCAGCGCCCAGTGTCGTATAAAGAGACGTTAATATTCTCACGAATAAGAATTGTTTGTTTGAGAATTAAACAGGAAAATTAGTCCATGAGACTCCTTACTTGATAGTTGATACTTGAATGGCCCGTTCTCACTAGTGCGGGCGCCAGCATAATCCCTATTTTTCGGAGACTTGATGGTTAAGCCATTATGGTTCCCTGGAGTCCCGAGGACAGCCTGGCGAAAGTCTGCCCGAGGTCTTCACCACCACAAGCAGTCGCAGCCCTCGTGGATTAGAGAGAGATTTACCACCATGCAACCTTGATACCAGGACGGTGGTGGATCTTGGTATTGGTTTACTCTTAGCTAGGCTTCTTGATGAAAACGCCGGACTCCTTCTCAGCCTGGGGATGAATCGCCCTCTGTACATCGCAGTCTGACACCCAGGAACACCTTCCAACCACGATGAGGTAAACCGTTGGGAGGTCCATGAGAATATGGTGGAAAACTTTTAAAAAGCTTAAAACACTTACCTGAATCAGACGGAGACGTTTACGATAGTTATTGGCTCTGACATGATCATTAAGTATTTGTTGTACATATGATGATGGGAACCATCCTGCTAAACCATCAGCTTCCCTGTGACCATAAAACCAACCTGTAGAAATGAAGCTTGTGCTTTCTATACGGTTATTTGCTTTTGAGAATGAATAGAGAAAATGAAGTCAACCATTCTCGAACGTACCGTCGGGCATTTTTCTCAGTATGTTCACCATATCTCCTACTTCTAATGACAATTCGTCATCTTGGTTTTTATTGTAGCTATGAACTGCTACAGCCTGTGGGCAGTCCCATTCAGCATAAATCTTCTCCAGAGGATTTGCAGACTGAAACATGAATGCGTTTTCAAATTTGTATGGTCATGTTCATGAAGTACTTGTAGTGGTAAAATTCACATCAACACCTTCTGCTACCTTTTACTAAAGACTGCAGAAGGAATATTCGGATCGCCACTTTATTAGGTTGTGTCTAGCCCACTCCGTGGAGATACCCTATAATCCACCCGTTAACTTCTGGGTTTGGTTAATTGCTACCAAGCCTCACTAGTAGGATAAAGATACTGATTTGATACATAAGTAATTCCTCGCAAGTGAAGGTTTGGGTTAAATAGGTACTCAATTGCCTCTGCGATGGTAAGAGCGTATTCGAGTGCACGGCAGATCACTAAAGAATTCGACAACGTCAAGGCCACATCCTTTTTTACCAACTTATTTGTCACTTGGCTCCACTCTACAAACATTCCCAGAAGTCCAACAAGTATTGTGTAAACTGGATTTCAACAAGGATACTAGTGAATGAGTTGCCTCCGATGCACCACATAACTCTTGCCCTGACTAACAGCGACCACGAATCTTTGGGAAAGGGTTGGTAAGAACGTCATCGATTCAGAGCACACCGACAGAATAGTAGTGTTCATTTTATCAATGACGTCATCTCCTAGAGAATTAGCAACAAGGCAGAGATGATCCGTAAGAAAAACTCAACGAGTCAGGTTGACGGAAGCACAAATAGACCATGAATCATCAAGTCCACAGGAAATCCTGTTGTGATCAAGTACAAATATAGATGAATGAATCATCAATTATGGGCACCACGTTTTACTTACGTCCATCTAAGGCGTTCAATGGACAAAATGAACGATTTCATGGAAAAATTGTCGACTGAGAGCTGGTCTAACACCTCGACGATTTCGCCTGCATCCCAGAATGAGCTCAAACGACGTATTTTGAAATAAAAGTTGGTAAACATAACATGGAGCAAGACTTCTACCTCAGAGCTCCAATGATTAATTCACGTTCAGCATGAAGGAAAATGTTTGTGCACAGACAAGATGATGACAGAGAGCCGGCGATAGATAGACGGGAATGGCGCAGCGAATGGCAAAAATATATCGGCGTCGTCAACAGAGAACAAATATGAAGTAGGTTTTTCATTGTTCTACAACGGGTAAGTGAAGCCGTTAAGAATAAAAGTAAGATGGCTCAGTACCGGTATCGACTCAGCGGGTTAATTCGAAGTACAGGAAAGAAATCAACAGTGCTCTGCCGCTTTGTGATGTGTACTATACTTTCGAAATATACGTAGATGACTTACTGTAGGAGGTCTGAGAGCGCTTAACCATCTTTCTCTGTCCGTTTCAGACTCCGCGTTCAGCAACAGTTCCGCTTGTCTTCCGTGAGCATTTCGCATGAACACACAAAGGAATAAATGCGGCCGAATGTTCAGCGATGGCATGGGCATCTGATATTAAAATAATATCTATTTATTACTGAAGTCAAAACCACTACTGTGTTTTTAAATTGGAAAATATCCACACAGGATTCGCAAAAAGGACACGTAGCGAATGCCACGCGAACAAGTTTCCGTCGGAGTGACTACGAGTGGATCCTATTTAAGTATTTCTCAGAGGAAACGTTCTTTTCCAGCGGTTTTCAGATGATTTTAATCATTTCACATGCGAACAACGTATGAATTGCCCTCTCGCTATTGATGACTGCCCATAGGACTACTGGGATTAAAAAGGAGTACTAAGTGAACAGTGAGGCGGAATTGGAACGTCTCCCTTAACTAGAAAAAATTTATATGATTTAATGGTTCTCTTCCACAAATTTCTTGTTTTTATTGATGACTATGCTTAACGCTTCTTTCTGCATGAGCAATAGAATTTACATGGCTCGAGGCCCAATATATTTTTTCAATTTTATGATTTTCTTATTAAGATATTCCTCGTCCCAATTTTTCCGCTTTTTTCCAAAGTAAGTGTGATTCTGATCACTTATTCATCGAAGGCGCGTGTGGAGCAGTGGTCGGAGGCGCACTGCAATACACACGTGGAATCGATCCCGGCGCCCATGGCCCACCAAGCTTTCGATCCATCCGGGATCGGCAAATTGGTACCAGATTTGTCTGCGAAGATAGCAGCACTGGTTCGATACATCGGTAGGCCACCGGAAGTCATTGTAAAAGCCAAGTATGCATTCAATCATCTCCAAACGATCCTTAGTAAAGTCGAATGCATGGCGCATCCCTCAAGGATTGATCAACGGTGAGAGTTTTATCTTTTTATTTTATTTGCTGATCGATGAGCGCACCCGATCAATATCGCATTCCAACGGCTGCACGTCCACATAACGTCGACCCGCATAATCTTTACATTCGTAAGTTCCATTCCTGAAATCGTTATCGATTTTTCTAAGCTGCCCTAACATAAAGAACAGTTAATAAAACTCACAGTTTTTTCTTCGTAACTAGTATGATATCCGAAAAGAGAAATATGTAGACGTTACGGGTTTTTTGTTTCCCCTAAAAACATAACTAGGAACAAAAGAAAATCTCAACAACAACAAATGAACCCTACTAATTTAAGCTTATTTGGATATTGGTATTACGTATAGTTGCTGCGTGTGGCGCAGTAGTCGGAGGCTCCTTGCAACACACAAGCGGAATTGACCCCCGCGTGCATGGCTCACCAAGCCTTCCATCCCTCCGGGGGTCGGCAAATTGGTACCAGACTTGTCTGAGAGGATAGCAGCACTGGCTCGATATATCAGGCCACTGCGAGTCATTGTAAAATTCGGATATGCATTCAATCACCTCCAAACGATGCTCGATGAGGTCGAATGCATGGTGCATTCCTCAAGAATTGATCAACACGGAAAGCTTTATCTTTTTATCGTTTATATTTGCTGCACACTTGTTACAATAATACAGCAAAATTATTAAAGAAAACGAAATCTGTTAAGAAATGGAAAACAAACAGAAACTGCAGATTATTAGAAAATGAATATTATATTTTATATGAATGTCATAGTCAATGCGTATTTCTAGCGTAGTGGTTAGAGGTGTCACGGAATACATGCTTAGTCACCAGTTCGAACCTGCGCAAAGGCATATCAAGCCCTACATTACTCAGAGATCCGCATTTCTGGGAACCCTCTGTACCATTTCTCTGGGAGGATAAAAATAAAAACTGACTGAATTCATCAGTACATTCCTATAAGCCATTTAATGGGCCAAACACGCATTGAGCCACACCGTGATCCCACGAACGAAGTCAAAGGCATGGCGCATCCCAGAAGGGTTGATCATCGCCTAATGCCTTATTCCTTTATTCGTTTTGTGTATTTATGCCTATTTATTCTCAAAAAAATATTATAATATCCTATAAAAACAGGTTTCTATACGGTAGTGTACTACCGAACTAGCCTGTAGAATATTGCGGTTCTTCCGTTCTATCAACTGAACTAGCGAGCCACGTTTCACCAGATATCGTGAATTAGAAACGAGAGCGATCTTTCTGAAATTATAAGAGCCGTAATCATCAATAACGCTGGTTACAAGCTTTCATTGATTTGTTTTCGTCTTGAATCGATCTTTTAAAAGTATAGAATAATACGGCTTTTCGTTGCGGTTTTAACTGAGCAGTGATTAAATAGTCGTATAGTTGCTTTTGTACATAGAAAGTTGTTTGTCGTGGCTTTAGAAAATGAGCAGAAAAAATGTTTGATGGAAATAACTGCAGATTTCCCACAATAATGAGCACGACCACTTCTGTCAAGGAAGACAGTTATAAAATTATTGGACAATTAGCGAAGTTCTAGTCAATCAATACGAATCGATATTTTTGCCATGAATTACTTCTACTCCAATGCTAACCTTTTATTTTCTGCCTACTATAGCTTTTCACGGCAGGCTATGATGTGAATTTCAACCATAACGATACTAAGATGCCGATTTGTGCTTCCCAGATCAATCCTGCTGACGGGTGATTGCTGATGGCAGCGCTAGGTAGAAAAAACTAGCTGAGAGAAACGCAAAGCAGAGACCTCTGTGGCGCAGTGTGTAATGCGCGATCCCCAGCAAAGGAAGTCGCGGTTCGATCTGGCCCCGGATCCAAGTTTTGAGAATATATTAGCATCGTTTAAGTTATTTCTACTCCCTTCGTTCTTTGGACTCAAAAAAAATACAACTATTAGAAAAAACCGTTTTGTCCGTTACAGCACAGGAAAATACACAGTCAACTGAAAAGGCAGAAAAAATTCCGGAAAATGAGCACAATTTGCTTAGAAGCTCGAAAGTGCTCTAAGATGGTTCAATTTAATTCTTTATTTGATTTAATGTCTTCAAAATATTTCCTGGCTCTGACGCCGTAAAAAGGCTGACATTTAAAGAATATGCTATTTTTCTGTGAACTCTTTATTTAATGAGCCCAGAGGTCGCGAAATCGTCCAGGAGTCCTCTGGCTTCTCGAAACTTGGAGATTTAAATATTGGCATTTTGTCGATTACTTTCTACATTTCTGCCTTAAAATAACTGCAACACTGTGTAATTTATCAAACGAAGTTTCCACTTTACTCCTTAAAGCCCCGTTTCCTAACAGTCAACAGTGTGTCGTTTTCTTGTTCAGCAATCGCGAGGTTTTTAAACAGCATACATTTACTTCCATAAAAACACAATACAATA